ATGACGAAGACAATGACGATGGCGGCAGCGGGAATTTCAAAGCTATTAAAATAAATTAGGGTTTATACATTTCCCAAATTAATATTTAATCTAATTATAATTAAAAATAAGATTATAAAAACTAATGTTCTATAAATATTATATTTTAATTAAATTACATTTAGTTTTTTAACTAATTTATAATTATACATTTAGTACTTTATAATTTAACGTTTTATAAATTAATTTAATAGTGTTCATCATTAACGATGTTCATCCGTACTCGTCGAACGTGACAATATCATCCTAAAATAAATGTAAAACTATTTTAATATTTTACGAATAATTATTTAAAGTATGATCGATTTGATCAGAGTTTAAAATTTTTCAAGCCCCAAATTTGGTATGGTTTATAAATATTTCTATTATATCCTTTTATAACTATTATCGTTAGAATTATAGATATGAATATATATTTTGAAGGCCATAGATATTCTTACATATTAATTAATGAATGTTCTTTCATTAGTTTTTAAAGAATTAATTATAAAATAAATGTTCAAACTATAATGTTTTTCATGAGTAGGTGTCTACATTATTTTTTAAATGATCACAGTGTCTAACAATATAAACATTACCACTTTAGGTGTCATAGCCGTAAACACCGTTTGGTATTTCTAAAAATCTTATTTAAAAAAATATATACATTTAAAAAAACACACACACAAATTTCAAAATAGCCCCAAAACATTAAAAACCTTCATTTCAATCTTTAAGCCCAACCTTTATCGTTGACGAAGCCCACCCGAACTCACCTACCCCCGAAAATCAATACCCATATGAAACTGTGATCGATCAACGGTCGATCGACGACCAATCAACTTTTAGTACCATGTGAACACTATGATGAAAATCGTGATCCCAAGCGATCCCGAATACCAATAGGCGGCGTATGAATAGAACAATGGCAGGGACTAAGTCAACGGCGGTGGTCGTGGTCGAAAATGACGGTGACTATGGGTTAGGGTTAGGATTTAGGATTTTTATGATTTTTTTTTTTTTTTGCAATTTAAGAGAAAACAAGGATCTTTTTATAAATATAATAATATTTCCAATTTGAAAAAAAATTAAAATTACTATAATATGACACATGTCACTTAACAGAAAAAGCTAACGACAGTTATAGCCAGGACACTTAAAGTGATAATGTTTGTAACGTTAGGCACCAGGATTATTCAAAAAATACTGTAAGCCCTTTTCGTGAAAAATGGTATAATTTAAGTACTTATTTTATAATTCAACCATTTTTAAAATAGAATTTGTTGAGTCAATCGAATGGATGAACTGGCAAATAGGGGGTGAATTGACAATTAAAAATTTTGGTGGAATCTTGAGAAAAAAATATAAACAAATGAACACAAGAATTTAGAGTGGTTTGACTTTATTAACTAAAGTCTACACCTACTACCTTAGCTATCCACACTAAGGATTTCCATAAATTCACTAATTTGTATCTACATTTGAGGATAAGGTGTAACCTTACAACTCCCTCAAGAATTATAAATCAAATTCTTGAGACACTCTCTTAAAGAGAAAATTATAAATTGCAAACTCATAAAATCCTCACTATGAATGAGTTTACACAATTCAAGAATAAGTAAGAGCACTTAAGAAATGAATACAAATGAGTACAATAAGTGTTCTTTGAAAGTAAAAAAGAATATTGAAGAATGTTGACTTGATTTAGCTCAAATTTGTTGTTTATGAATTTCTCTTTTGTCTCTTGTCTTCACAAATGACTTGGGATCTTGTTTTTATACTCCCTCATTTAATTCCAATCGTTTGAGTTGTTGTGTGAGTGAATAGAGCCGTTGGGAGGTAATTTCCCGCATTAAATATTGTCTAGAAGTTTATAGTATCAGTACTCGTTCTTTCAGTATCGATACTTCCTGCATTAAATACAAAAATTTGACCGTTGGGAAACTCTAGTATTGATACTGTCACAAGGGTATCGGTACTACTATATTCAATAGTATCGATACTACATAGTATCAGTCCCATTTTAGTATACTGAAATTTTGACAGATTCAAAATCAAAAGGTAGTATCAGTACCACCACTAAGAGTATCAGTACTACTATATTAAGTAGTATTGATAATGTATATTGTATCGGTACCATTTTAATATTCTGTTTTGAGAGTATCGGTACTGCCTTAGCATTATCGATACTACTTCATCATTTTGGACTTCAGCATCGATATATGTATCGATACTTTTTGAACAGTATCGGTATTGTTCTAGTAGTATCGGTACTACTATGCTTAAAAATCATTTTTGACTCGATTGAAGTTCGAAACCCTTAGTAAAAATTATTTCAAAAATATTTCCTGTATAGGACTCAATTTTTCAATAGACTGAGGAGTAAAATTGACTTTTTAACTTTAAAGTATAATTTATATATTCGAATGACTGAATCGAATATAATCTTAAAATTTGTAAAAAACCTATTTAACAATTTTTGGTATATCAAAATATCAAATTGTTTTCAACAATCTCTTTTTTTATATATATAACAAAACATTTTAGAATTTTAAAATTTTATTGAAAAAAAATAATCCCCTTACTCTAACATTTCTCCCCCCTTTTTATTAAATCAAAAAGACAAATTTCAGAATAAACAAAATAAATAACAAATATGTGAAGATCATTTGGGCCAAACAAGTTAGTCAACATAATTAATATCCATATGCAATGGGCATGGTCACAATAAAAGAAAACATGGCTGAAGATATGCGAAATATTATAAACAGAAACATATAACAGACCATCCAAAGCATAAAATAAAGACTAAATCCAAAATATCAAAGTCTAAAAATTCAAATGAAAATGTAAGTTCAAAGTGTGTCATGCAACATCAATGGAAAAACAACTAGCAAAGAAAAATCATCATGCACCTGACGGAGGATCAGGATCTGAAGGAGGTACGCGGAAAGAAGCAAAGTCTCGAGAAAGAGTGTCAAGCCTATTCGTCACCACGTCGAATCAAGCAAAGATGTCTCATCAGGAATCCATATGCATCGCTTGCAGTGCCAACTGTTGAGAGGCGATCTCGAACACCTAAATTCCCAAAGCAGTAAAGTGAGACTTTATAGAGATAAACCTCAAGTCCAATGTCTTCATCATGGACTGGAGGTAAGGGGCACCTCACCACCAGTGCTAGGAGGCTCGTTAGGAATGCGATTCATGGGATCATCAACGTCATGTAGAACATCATCGTCCTAAGGTGGAGCTAGAGTCAGAGCCGCTTGATGCCGCTTGAGATGAACTTATATCGAGCGCCTCTTTTGCTTTCATTTCCCAATTGTCTCCAAATTTAGTCGATCCCGACTAAAGCCTATGTTGATATCTACCCAAACTCTTAATCTCGTGTAACACATAAAACAATACATCACAAAAAAGAAAATTGAAGCAGTAGTTTGCTTTGGCTTAGTTCATATATAATATATCACTGCCGGGTGGATGCACTTGCCATTAGGGATAGACATGATATCTGAATTCGACAGGATATTATTTGATTAGATTCGATCGAGTTACGTCAGATTTTTTAAAAAGATTGAGATCGGGTCGGTTTTTTTAAAGGTTTTGTTTGAGTCGGATCAGGTACAAGTTTAAGGTAAAAATATCCGACCTGATCCAATTCAAGAAAAATATATAATTTTATCTTTTTATTTAGGGATGATTATAATAATGTCCCTATATATATTTTTTTCAATTAATTCTCTATTTTATTGAATAAAAATAATATTTATTATTTCAGGTCGGGTTTGATCAGGTTCAGATTATATCTCAAAAAGTCAAGTCTGATTCAGGTCGGGTGGAAGGTGTATATTTTTCGGGTCAGGTTGAATTCGAGTGGATGATGTATAATTTTTGGGTCGGGTGAGATTGACCGAAAATCAAACCCGACCCACGCTCATCTCTACTTGCCACTTGACCCTAGCGGTCAAATACATACACATTAGCATATTGTGATATGTCTTACTTAATGGAGGGAATTAAAATCGTTGATGGCCTGAACACCTAAAACGGTAGCGTTTGTAATATTAAACCTCTAGATGATCTAAAAATTATTGTAAGTATTTATTCAGAAAAAATGATATAGTTCGGATATTTATTTGAGAAATAAATTTTTAAACGCTAAATATCTCTTTCAACTGTTCTTTTGAAACCTTTATTTTCACCGTCGGGGTTTCCGACTAGTTACTATTTGAGTGGGTCACATTGGTTCGACGCTCCAAGTTAATGTGAATGAATTCAATACTCTTTTAATGTTAACCTGTTGAAACTTATTACTCATTCCATATGTCAAAAAGAGATAAAGAAAATGTATTATTTTATGAATAATTTGTAAATTTAAAAAAGAATATTTAAAAATTAATTAAATCTTAATTCCATTGATATAATTATTAATATGACATTAAAAAATATATATTTAAACTTAAATTATTTTTCAATTTAAAGATTTAAGATCTGAATAATTTACAAATATTATATGAATTAACTTTTTAATATTATAAAATAAATTTAAGTTATCATCAATTAGTTGTTATAGTAAGATGATGCACTAGATTTCTTAAGTAATGTCAGAAATTTAAAACTTGACGTTTGCGAATAGAGCAAAATGGATTGAAGGGGTCGCTTTCACATTTGTAATATCTGATTTAAATTAATCGATTAATAGATCGGATACTAATGATTAATTCAAAAAAGAAATAAATTTAATTTGAATATGGTAATCAATGAAAGGATTTTCAGTTATCCAAAAATCTCAGTTTTAGAATTTAGAAAAATCTAATCTAAGAATTATATTCAATTTTTTAACTGCAAAAGTGATTTAAATTCAAACCCCAAATTTAATTTAAAATATTTTAAATCCTTAAAAAAATATCAAACATAGCAATTAGAAAATTTGCTAAAATCCCTAAAAAATCATTTTTAAACTTTAATTTAATTAGCCAACAATACTCTTCTTCTTCCCACCAACTGATCCACTTTCAAATAAACTTCTTAACCGCTCCACCTCTCAATTTACATCATTTCTTCTCTCATCCCCATGGTTTAATCCATCAATTCTTAGGCTAAGACCCCGTTTTTTTCATTTTAATCTTCAAATCCAAGCAATGGGGAGAATTGGGTTTGAATCATTATCAGATGGAAAGTCACGGCTAGTCCTGGAAATTTGTTCCATGGTGAACACCCCCATTGCATGTTCTCACAGGCACCGTATCAAACACCTTGTAAAGTCACGTTTCATCGACTGGTATCGTCTCTTGGGAGTATGTCTCTTCGTTTTCCTTTTCAAGGCTTTTTAATCTTTTGATCATAGACTTTTGCATTGCCAGCTCTCAGCACCACCGTGCGAACTTCCATCTCCTACGCCTATAAATTGTACCAAAGAATTCAACCTTTTTTTCATTTGACTCGTGATCTTTCCATTGCAGGTTGCAGAAGATGCTGGATTAGAGCTTATCAAAAGGCGTTATCATAAACTTGGTAGGCTATTATTTAATGTCAGAAATTGAAAATTTTGCAGAACTTACATGTATATATATTCGTCATTGAATTATTGAAAAAGGGGTGCTTTTGGTTTTTGGTTTTTGTTTGCAGCTTTGCAGCTTCACCCAGATAAGAATAAGCATTCAAAAGCTGAGGTTGCCTTCAAGCTTGTATCAGAGGTTAGATTACTTTAATGGCCTTTTTGTTCATTTTGGTGGCATTGGAAGTTGGGTTGGATTAGACTGCTTGGTAGATTTCAACAAATTGTAGTTAACATGATATAAGTACATATTATTACCTAAAGTATAAGAAAGTAAAATAAAATTTTATATCATGGGTGTGATCTTACCTCTAACATCTTTTCAATTCATCTCTAATTGTAATTATGTATATTTTCGATCGTATCGCTTTTATCATAATTATATATTTAGTAAATAGTTAGAAGGATTAATCTATGTAATCATGATTGTCGCCCATCACTCCCTAATCTTATGATGATAAAGGAAAGAGAGGGATTGAATCCTGGATTTTGCTAGTGGAAGGACCAAAACTATGATTAGACCAGGAAGCAGGTGTAACACAAATACACAATATGGTTTTCATAATGGAAAACGTTTCACTTGCAGGCATATTCATGTCTATCAGACAATGTAAAGAGAAGAGCTTTCAACTCAGAGAGGAGGAAACACTTCTGTATCGAATGCAATACGATCCCGTATTCGAATCCAGACAACAATATTTCACAACATTCATCAAAACCCAAAGCTCAGGATCCCATGAATTGTTCAAAACCTGAGAGATCTCTGCAGATTCTGAGAGAGATAAGGAACAGACTGAAAGAGGAAATCAGAGTCATAGAACACTGCTTGAAGGTAAACAGGAGGGAATCTCCGTTGTTCAATCCATCAAACAAGCTCAATGAGATGAACCATATGGTTCAAAGAGAAACCCCAATTTTTGAGCCTTCAGAGTATGTAATCCATGGCTATCCACATTTGAGGAATGATGTTTATAGGGAAGATGAAAGGTTTATGCTCTTTAAAAGAGGGAGTTTGAAGGGGAGAAGAAGAGGGGATTATGATTCCCCAATCTTTGGGAATGAATCGGAAAAGGCAAGTTTTAAGGGAGTTTTGAAGAACCAAATTTGGTAGTATTTCATTCATGAATCATTCTTTAGGGGCTGCTTTTGGTTTTCTCAAGGAATTTGGCTTGAGGGGCTTTACTGTAAACTGTTAGTTTTCATCCCTAGCCATTTTTCTCACTTTCACCCCTAATGTTTTTTCTGGGTAAATTACAAATTTCATCACTGAACTTTACTATTTCTCTTATGTTGCTCACTAAGCTTTAAAAATTTTCAATTTCTTCATTGAACTTAATACATTTGATTTTTTGTCACCCTATCGTAAATAGTTAAAGGCGTAAAAATGAAACCGTTTTAAAAAATAATTTTTTTACCAAACGATGTCGTTTTGTATCTATATAACAACTCATTTATAACCCCGTTCAAGACAAAAGAAAAGTGTATAGTCTTCATTAATCTTACCCCAATTTGATATTAATTTAGTGTCTTTTGTAAAGCAACAATGATGATATGCAAAGGCACTATGCAAATGTATATAGGGATGGATATAGGTTGAGATGAATTTTTGTTCGATCAGTTAGAATATTCAATTTCTCATGTCACTTGATCTTTTTTGAGTTTAAAGCGACTTTAATTGACATGAAATCCGATGTGATTTGTGAGATAAAAGTTCACATATATAATATTCTAACTTTATTAGATAAAATAGAGAGATAAGTATTATTATAATTATCCTCATATATATAAGAGATAATTATATTATTTTTAAATTGAATCAATATTTTTCACCTTAATCCTGAATTCGGCCCAACTCAAACTTAATTTTCCTTTTAAAATATTGATCTTATAAAACTAAGTCAGAATTTGTCGAATCCGAATCTTATGCAACTATGCATATTTTCACAATTATTTTTCGAAAATAACACAACATGAATGTTTTAAAGTTTCATAATTCATACTACAAAAAGGTGTAATATTTAACATATACTTACACCAATGTAATTATGTACATGTCTCAATATCTTGGTACTTAACAATAAACATATAATTATATAAGTGTAAGTATGCTTATGTATTTTCAAAGAAATAAAAAATACAAATATATATTAAATTATAAATCTAATTTATTATTGGTTAACTATTTATCAAAATTCGTAACCGTAACCTGAACCGTTAATTATTATTTTTAGTGGTTCAATTAATCAAAATCGTTGACATTAACGATTTGATTAATTAACCTACTAAATTTAATGGTTATACCAATTAACAATTACAATATTTTTTGAACAACCCTGAGACTCTCGACAGAAGGACAAACGACCACTCTATTTATCAGAAACTCAACTTTCATAACTTTTGCTAACTTGGAGAAATATAATTTTTTGAGGAAGAAGACTTCATGTCAACATTTTGTAACGACATTGACAGTAATAAAAGTAAATTAAAAGTTGAATAGTTATAATGTAATTTTTAAAATTTTTGTGATAAAATGAAAGCACCCTAAAAGTACAATACCTACCAATATAGTTTACCCTAAAAATTTCAATAATTTTCTTTTTGTCTTTTTATTGCTCTACTATGGTTGATGAAAGGACCCACCATGGGTACCTCGACACGTCACGTTCTCTAACTGCCTCTCGGCTGACGTGGACACTTGTAAATCAATTATATGGGTCCGTATGATTTCGGTAAAATTATGGTCTAATGACATTTTCAGTCCTTAACTTTTCAAAACAATATTTTAGCCTTGGCATAATGTCAAAATTAGTACCCAACATCTATTGAATGTTATTTTAGCCCTGGACATTTCATTTTGGGTGAAAAAGCCCCTAATTTGGAGCATTAGTTGTGTGTTAACTAACGATTTCCATCTATAGAGGGGGCTTTTTGCCTCAAGATGAAATGTTGGTGGCCAAAATACTTCAAAAAGGGACTATGGGCTAAAATGATCATTTTAGTAAATGTTAGGGACTAATTTTAGCATTATGCCTTTAACCTTTTAACTTTTGTCATCTTTTTAAGTTCTCCTAATATTTATTTATTTTTACCAAATAAAATCAATTAATAAAAAATAGTAACATGTTAACTATTTTATCTTTTCGGTTAAAAATACGATTGAGTTGAATTAGGTAAAAAATATTGAGTTACTCGAGTTTATGTGTCCTAGTCTATAACTCAAATTTTATTTGAATTTTTTTTAAGTCGAATCAAGTTTATGAAATGTGAGTTGAGTTGTTCCAGTTTTCGTTTAAATTTAATTATAAATATGTATGATGTTATGGTATTAATTGATTCTAATTTAAACGACTTTCTATAACCAATACGATATACATATATATTTCTTCATATGTTATATACATATGTCATGCATAATTGAGGGATTAGAGTTAAACTTGAAAACAAATATATTATTACTAAAAAATTTGAGTTATTCAAGTCTTATTTTATAACTCAAACTTTATTTGAAATCTAAAATAGACTAGATCAAAAATCAAATTTTAAAAATATATATATATAATCAGATTAAAACTCATTAAATTTGAGGCAAACCATCCCTAATTTTTTCCCTGTCCAGACCAACCTGATTTGGTAGGTGAGTTCAATAAAGATTTTATGCACATATAAAAATTTGAACTTAGAACATATAAAAATTTGAACTTAGAACTTTACTTAAATAATATTAAGATACTTATCACAAACCAATCTCATTAATAACCATACTAATTATTCATTAGTTATTGATTAAGATAATACGCTTGGATGTTTGGAGTCCGCCGACTTTAAATGTGAGCTGGATCCACACTTGTATAGGACTGACCCACTTTTGAATAAAAAAATACAAGAAAGTCCACAATTATTTATTAAATTAAATTTTATTTAATGGGGAAAGAAAGCTCGAGTGAACTTCAACTTGAATGAATTATCTATTCCAATAATCCAGAATTTTTCTGTTTTTGTTTCAGTTTTTACCTTATATCAACTTGGGTTTCTTTGAATTTTCAACTCTGGGTATCAAGTATCAATCTTTTGTTCTTTTTGGATGCTTGTCGAGTTAGTTGAAGTTTAAGCATGTGAAACCGAACATCTTTCTGCAAAATTTCCCCTTGTTTTCTGGTTTCGGATCTGGTTTTCAAGTGGTGGAAAAGGATCCATGTCGACTGCTAACTCGAGTGATGCTTGGAAAGCAGTAGATTCAGTCCCATATCAGTTCCCTGCTGGTCTGCGTGTGCTTGTTGTTGACGATGATCCAACATGTCTCATAATCTTGGAAAAGATGCTAAGAACTTGTTCATATGAAGGTGAAATCCCAAATTTCTTTCTAGGGGTTTAATTATTCGTTTTGATTACTGATTTCGGTGTTTAATATACTAATTTTATGTTTCTGGTATGGATTTTCAATGGTATATTGTTTACGTGAATTGTCGACGATCATTACTTTAATTTGTGCATAAAAAACATTAGGGAGTCCTTTTATTATTGCGGATTCGCATTATTTGGAGCTAAGAAGTTGAAATTCATTTAATTTGATGGATGATTGGTGTGATTTGTACTATTTTTCAGTTACCAAATGCAGTCAAGCAGAGACGGCATTGTCTATCCTACGAGAGAACAAAAATGTGTTCGATATTGTTATCAGCGATGTTCATATGCCGGACATGGACGGATTCAAACTTCTTGAGCATATTGGTTTGGAGATGGATCTCCCTGTCATCAGTAAGCACTCTTATCCTCTATGTTTGACATGGATTTAGTTGCCATGGATCGAGGATTTCATCAGGTTTGGAGTATGTTCCGTCCTAATATCTTCTACTTGTATTTTCTTCAGTGATGTCGGCAGACGATGGAAAACATGTTGTTATGAAGGGTGTTACCCACGGTGCCTGTGATTACCTAATCAAACCAGTTCGTATTGAGGCGCTGAAGAACATATGGCAGCATGTCATTCGGTAGAGGAAGAACGGGTGGATATACTTGGAGCAGTCGGGAAGTGTAGAAGAAGGAGATCGGCAGCAAAAAACAATCTGAAGAGGCGGAATACTCATCCTCGGCTAACGAAGGAAATTGGAAAAGCTCAAAAAAGAGGAAGGATGACGAGGAAGAAACCGATGATAGAGATGATACATCCTCACTGAAGAAGCCGAGGGTTGTCTGGTCGGTTGAGCTCCATCAACAGTTTGTTGCAGCAGTTAATCAACTAGGCATTGACAGTACGAGTCTTTTACCTATTTCTTTCATTTTGCTGATGTTTACTTGCTGATTGCTCCATCTTTTCGTCACAGTAGCATGCATATAGTGATAGTGTTTATTTTACACTGGTGAAACTCTTGTACTTTTGCATCATGTTACTTGGACTCGGGTCTAAGTGTCAAATACAGGTATGCTCATTTTGGAAAATACCTCGAGAATCTGAGTCGAAGTGCCTACCCTTGGTTGGCATGGATCAAATCTAAGTGACATATTCAATTATCAATGTCGTATCACATTGCTGTTTATATAAACTCAAGATTACGGATATGTTTTAAACTAACTTCAACCACAACTATCTGCCTGTTGATGTTTTGGTGTTTCTATTCATTCATATTTGGTGTTTTCGTTAACTCTGTTGTGTTTGATCTTCTTCTTCAGAGGCTGTCCCAAAGAAAATTTTGGAGTTGATGAATGTTCCTGGCCTGGCCAGAGAAAATGTTGCCAGCCATCTTCAGGTACGATACATGTTCAATAAATAAGCAAACTTTGTACTCGACTACATTTGCATATAAATAATTATCGGAAATCGGAATTTTTGTTTGGTTCTTTGATGATAAAGGCTTCATTATTTTTGTGATCAGAAATATCGCTTGTATCTTCGAAGCCTGAGTGGGGTATCGCCGCACCCGAGTATTCTGAATACTTCTTTTATGAATCCCCAAGAAGAAATTTGTGGTCCTCTATCTTCAGTCAATGGGCTTGACCTTCAAGCTCTTGCTGCTGGTGGTCAACTTCCTGCTCAATGTCTCGCCACACTCCAAGCTGATGCGCTTGGTCAGTCAACCGCTAAATTGAGCGTACCTATGCCCCTTGTTGATCAAAGAAACATTTTTAGCTTTGATAATCCGAAGTTAAGATTTGGAGAAGGGCAGCAACAACTTATGTATAATACTAAGCAAATAAATTTACTTCGTGGAATTCCGACGACTATGGGGCACAAGCAGCTTACCACTTCACAATCAATAGGAAACATAAATATGCAAGTTACTTCCCATGATGTTCAAAGTAGCCATAATAACTCGTCATTGATAAATATGAAAGTCGCTTCCCAGGGTGTGCAAAGTAGCCAAAATAGTTCGCTATTGATTCCGATGGGTCAGGCACAGTTTGCTCATGCTCATGCTCATGCTCCCAGACTTCCGTTATCCGTGAGGCAGCCCATTATATCAAATGGAATTGCTGCCAATGTCTCCACACAAAATGGTATTGGAGAAAACATCCGAGCCCCTGGTTATAATCCAGTTCCGCAGACCTCCTCGATGTTGAAATTCCCCATGAATCATGCTTCAGAACTGCCTGGTAATAGTTTCCCCTTTGGAAGTACACCGGGGATGTATGGTCGCATATCGAAAGGGACTTTTCAGGAAGATTTTAACTCGGAGATTCATGCCAAGTTATGATATATTTAATGACTTGAATCAACATAAACACCAAAACTGGGAGCTGCAGAATGTAGACATGACATTTGACGACTCTCGGTATTCAAACTCTCTTCAAGGTAACCTTGATCTGTCTAAATCGCTTTTAGTTCAACAAGGATTTTATTCAGGCCAAATGAACGGACAAAACAGTAGTGCAGCCGATGTAAGCAAGGCATTGTTCTCAGCAGGAGATGGTACAGAGCCGGGGAATCCATTAAATGTCAATCAGCATCTCAACTCCCTTCCTGTTGACAATACAATTCGGGTCAAGACCGAGAGTGTTGCAGATGCAAACCCTGACAATCTATTCATCGATCATTTTGGACAAGAGGATCTCATGAGTGTTCTTCTGAAACAGGTTAGTTCTTTTCCCTTATTATTTACTTATTGATGGGGATATTCACTTGCATTTAGAATTCGGTTTTCCGGCAGCAACAAGGCATTAAGCCCGCTGAAAATGAGTTCGACTTCGATGGGTTTTCCCTGTATAATATTCTATTGTAGACGACCTCCCATCTTTCGCGAGTTCTTGTCATGATCATTGCATTTATGTTGTACAATTGTACATAATATCTCTTTTGCAATCAATCATAGGGACCTCAAGTTCATGTTTCTTAAAGGAACCGGATTTGCTTCATTCCGAGAACCGCAACTTCCATTATAAGTATCATATGCTGCAAGTTTCTTTTCAACATAGCAGGACAAGATGATTGGATAATCAGGCTGGACGAGTAGAGTAGCCATTGGAAGATAACTGTGGGGCATGGAAAAGCTACTAGTGCAGATACGCAAAGGATTTCCGTTCGAGAAGTTTCATTGTTTTCGTTAGCAAAATCCGGCATGACCAACTAACTTTATCGTGATTGTTGACGTCTTGTAGCTGCATTCCGAATTGTGAAGGATTGTTTCTAAAACACCAGCAGGGGCCATTGGAGGCTTTCTAAGTCTAATAATCAGAAGATATTTACTCTTTTATTTATTTTGGAATTGATTTCTGATTGTACATATACCATTTTTGATTGCTCCAGACATAAGTCTGGGCATTGAATCCTGGTAAATTTTCATAGGATCCTCATTTATAATTTGATTTTTATGTTAAATTAGACCATCTTATCGTTGTAGCCATTTAGTTTTCTGATGATGTTCACAAGATTCTTGAATTTCTATGCTCAAAGCAAGGCTTAACATCCGGATTTTGTGCTGTTTGGCGCCAAAGAAAATTCTGGGGTTCCCTTTAAACTTATTTTCATCTCTTTAACCCAACACCCCATTTCTTTTCCTGTAGGAAATTAGCATTTTCCCCTTCGGTCAAGTTATACAAACCACTCATTCAACAAAACAAAATAAATGTTAATAAATGGAGAAATCAGATCACATAAACATACATTACTGCTAAGATTAGATTAAGAAAAACAGAACATTCAAAATTTTCTTACACTTAATTTCTTCTCACTACAATTTGTACTAAAAGAATTTAAAAATCAGCAGAGATTACACTTAATAATGGTTAGATACCCATGGAAGATCCTAGTGTGTAGCCCTAAAAGAATAGATTAAGCATAAACATAACCATAAGAGAGAGCCATTAAAAGAACAGCAGCTTGTTCTTCTTCACCCAATTTTCTGCTTCGATTCTCAACCGTTGATCTTCGCATCAAAACTTCTCTTCCCAGTAACATCAATCTTTGCTTCAAGTTGCTCCCTAAATTTCTGGGATTATTTGATGATTTCATTGATTTCCTCTCCTCTCCCTTCTTTAACCCTATTATGATTGTTCTCCTCTTCTTCCTGCTTCTGATCCCACATGCATTGCATAATGACTGCAAAATTGATATTCAAATATTAAACAAAAAACAAAACAAAAATCAAAGATTACAGATTACAGATGAAAAAAATGTTGAAATGGAAAACGATTGATACTTTCGGACCAGCTGGGCCGCCTCTCCAGAGAGGGGTTTTGGAAGTACCGCAATCAGCACAAGTTTTCTTGATTTGTTCATTGAAGACGCTTTGATTTCGAGATCCCTTTGGTGAAATCATTTCTGGGTGTTCATTACTTTGATCTTCAGAATCTGATCCCTGCAGTAGAAAAATAAAAGCAAGTGAATCAGCTGTAAGAGAAAATGGGAAGTTACGCTTATGATCAAATGAAGAACATTGATGATCACTAACTTTTTCGCTTGGATCCAGCATGATTACTTGGTTTTTCAAAGATCTGAAACCAACCCAAGTTGTATAACAAATAAATCTCAAATGGGTAGTGAAGTTTTAAGTGAAAATAGATCAAAATATGGAAAACCCAGATGGGAAAATTGATTTTAAAAAACAACTAAGAACAAAGGAAAAGAGATCAAAGCAATGTAGTTAATGCAGAACTGAAATGGAGACTTTGGTGGGTGGCTATGTTTTGGGTTGATCAAAGGCAGAGTGGGAGACTCTTAGTTTTCTCTCGAGAGAAAACGAAAGAAAGGGAAGGAAAATGTTAAAATCGACAAAGCGAATCAAACCGACATAAAACACCGAACGTAGGCGGATCTAGAAAACTCCTTATAAACGGGACGCGAAACCCTAGATCATTGGCTGTAAAATGACTGAAACGCCATTGATGGATTTAGTTTTATCCCATTTTGCCACCCGCCAAATCTACCAAAACGAAGAGCTTTCCTTAAATCAACAAAAAAGAGGCGCCATTTTTTTGTAAGAACCGAACAATTTTAATGGTAAATGAATTGTTATTATTCTTTGAAATTTTGGATTCGAACATTAAAAATATCATAGGTATAAACGTTTAATATCAAATAATTTAAAATTATTTTTAAGTTATCTTTAAACAGATATTACCTTGTACTTACTTCAAATTAATAATAATAAAAAAATAGTTTGATTGATTTTACATTCAATTTGTATATTTATTGGATAAATATACATTTTTGTGCTTGAACTTAGCTTAAGTTATAATTAAATATTTTATATTTTTTGCCAAATAGATATCTAAACTTGATCTTAATGTTTAGTTTGGTATTTAAACTTTTTTGTCCAATTAAGTACTTAAATTTAACTTCATGATTCAAAATGACACCTAAATTTAACTTTATAGTTCAAATTAGTGTGAATATTTCATTTACTTTAAACAGCAATTTAGATCAGAGAGTGAAATTTAAGTACTAATTGGTATCAATAAATCAAGTTCAAATACCTAATTAGATCAAAAAGAGAATGGAAAGATAAGATCCATTACATATGAGGATAATGGAACAGCAAGCGTATGACGATTAGGTAAAATCTACAGCGACGTCGAAGTTAAAATCCAAACAAACAATAAGCAGAATAACAAAGGGAACACAATCGACACCTTCCCATAAACTACATAGCAAGCAGGATCAAGCCCGAACGAGAGAGCACACAGAGCTTGTTTTAGGCGTTAAATACTGATAAGCCTTCAACTGAAACGACTGCCTCGAGTACTGAAACCCTGTAAACTTACCAGCATACCACTTAAGTTAAAGGGCCCTGTTTATACAGGGATAAGCCTAAGGGACACTTCCATGGCAACAATGTACCATTTGACATGTTTTTGGTATAAGACAAGCAAAATACCTTGCCGACAACTTTTCTGGTCACAACTGTATGCATTTCCCTCAGTATTGGAAACACAGTACCGATAGACCAACCCGGGCACATTCTTCACCACAGTTCGACACTGGACAGACTATTAAATAACAAGACGCATCACAGTGCCCCCTGACCAAACTTTCACCCCAGGTATTAGTCAACCTGCATTATGAACTGTGTTTTCTATGAAGCCCTGCAATTTCAGTAAACTTGATCAAATACAATTGACGATTAACTTCACTAAGTCCGGCAAAAGAATAATGAAATTAAGTATTAACTAGACAAACCTTCAACTGAAATTGAATCCATCAGATGGAACTTGAAGTTCATTCTCCCCAAACTGGAAAGCTTGTTGGGTACCGTCACCGGGAGGTAGTGTCTCCTCATCCTCCTCCAACCAGTAAGTCTCAAGAATCTTGACAGCCTTCTCATATATCTCGCTATTATCATAAGTCTGTAGGTTTTCGATCTTTTCCAAACCCTCGGCATCTTCTACCACTTGGGCACAATGGTTAAACTCTACAGAACCCGAGGCCCTCTCAGCTTCACCAACCTTCAAAAAGTTCTCCAATCCTTCCAGACAGACCATTATAATTCTAGGATCAGGGCATGCAAGAAGATCACACAGTGGTTTTATGCAGCCTTGACTGACCATGTACCTACATATCCACATAAGAAGAATGGTTTTGTTCTCAGTTATATGGCAATGGGACTAAGGAAACAGCCTATATTACACAGATTCGGGATGACTATCAGGTACAGCCATAAGGATATGGGCCCAACACAACACAAGTAATTGGAGAATCACACACATATCCGAATATGCATTAGATATAGGTGCAATTGAGGAAAACTAAGACTTGGGGAATCATAGGAAACAACGGAAAGAAAAGAATTTATGTTCAACAAGACAAAAAGAAACAACAAACAAATTTACATACTTGATTTGCTCATGAGTACCACCCGAAGTAGCATTTGAAGTTGCCCATGCTGCTTCTTTCTTTATATCAAATTCAGCATTTAGAAGTAGGTTAACCAGTTGCTCAATTACTCCAGCATTGATCACAGCCTACATAATTAAAGTATAATAAGCATGAAACAATAAAAAAAATCCAGTAACAAAACAACTCTCTCTTTAAATGCTTGAAGCAAAATTTCCTGTGATTTACTCACCTGAATCTGCTCCTTATTTCCAGCTGTAATGTTTGAGATGGTCCAGCAAGCTTCCTTCTTTATACTCTTATTATGATTATAGCTCAATAGGCTCATAAGGCATGTTAATGCACCGTGCTCAATAATGTACTAAAACAAAAGGCAGCAAAAATCAAGACAAATCAAAATAAAACAAAAACCAATGGGTGCAGGACTAAAAATGAGAAATTCTAACCCATACCTGAGTCTGGAAATCATCTCCAGTCACAATATTTCCAACAGTACGAAGCGCCGGAATGAGCACTGAAGGAGATGGATTACTGCTAAAAAAACAAGTGTAAGCCATCACGTTAACAGAAATGTGAAAACAACCAAAGATGTTTTTAGGTATTCTACTTACCGCAGGAGCTCAACAAGACGTGGGCAAACCCCTGATTCAATCACAGCTTGAATTTTGTCATTAGTACCATCAGACAGATAAGAGAGAGCCCAACAGGCATCAGTCAGAACTTCTTCATCATTTGAATGAACAAGACGTTCAAGCGCAGGTAGAGCTGGTCTCACCTAGCCAACAGATTGCCAATATTTGCTCAATGAAAGCTCAGTTAAAAGAAAAGGAATAATGCAAAGAAAAAGATGAAAACCTGATCAAATGGGGGCTGTGGCTTGCCCCTGCAGAAATTTGATAATGTCCAAGTTGCATTTCTCAGCATTGACAGCTTAGCATGTTCATTTAGCTGAGCTAAAAGTGGCATCAAAGCTCCATGACCGAGAACAAGATCACGACATCTAGGGGAATCACCAGCAATATTACCCAATGCCCACACAGCCTACACATAAACAAACAAATTACTCAGTACAGAGTTCTATATTCTCCTCACTGGTTAAAAAGCAATCATCCAAGACAGCGTTATCAGGGGCACAAGGCACAAAAAAAGTTCCACCAAGTGAAATAAAATACAATCTCTAGATGTATGTGTTTTTAAAAGTTTATATGTGTCACGTGTGTATAGCAAACTCTAACGTTGATCCAGTTTATCTACAAAACACGCATTTTTTTTTGGTATTCTCTGAGGTTCCAGTGATCCCATAATTTCAAGTCTCACACTTAAAGGGTATAGTTTTTTAGACATACCTGCTCGCGGACATCATCACTTGGTGAAGAAAGAAGCTTAACAAAAATGGGAACAGCCCCATGATCAATAACAACCTTTGTATTCTCTGAGGTTCCAGAAGCAATATTTGTAAGCGTCCAAGCAGCCTCAAACTACATATTTCAAAAAAATACCACCAAAATTAGCATATAAACTAAACTCATAATTCTTGAAAAATCGGTATTAGTAGTCATTAGTCAATAACTAATACCTGAAGCTGTGGAAAGTCTTCCCTCGTAAGAACCTCAACAAAACGGGGAACGACGCCGGATTGTATAACTACATCAATAGGTGGACTTCGCTCTGTTTAGAAGAGGAAAAATCTTCAAGAAAATAGTATATAAATTAAAAGAAAATACAAAGTGAAATGCATGAAAACAGTACCGATTGAAAGCAATTTCCGAAACTGAGTAGTCGCCTCTAGCTGGTCATCGCCATTATCAGACCAAACACCAGCAACCATTGAAGGAATATTCTCTAACTGCAATAATAAGCCCTAAATAACATATATTTCAAATTTTAAAAGCCATAAATTAAAGATTTTGGTAACGCGGTAGTGATTCTATTTTACCTTCTTTTCGACGTTAGAGGAGTGGAGAGAATAAGCGAATTGTTGAGCTTGGAGGCCTTCCCGGCGCTTCTTCAGTAAACTCTCCTCCCGCTTACTTTTCCGGATCTCCACCATGTTGTCTTCCCTCCTACGACGGCCCTCCTCCGCGTCAACCCCCACCTTATAGCGGTTGCGGCGGGCCTCGGTTCTCGTGCTCGGTCTCAGCGACATGGCGGCTGCTTTGACTTAGAAAACCCTAGGGAAATACAAAGTTGGAGATGGAGATTTTAATAAAGGATCGAATGAAGTGAACAAAACAGGAATTGAGAGACTTTTCTTTGCAGAGGAGTTTTTAAAGTTTAAAGCGAAAAGGGTGAAAGGGCATCAAAGGACTACTAAGAGGGACGAATGGGTAATTTTCTCTTTTAAATATTTATTTAAAAACATTATCTTGTTGAGTGGATTTCGCGATTCAGTTTGGTCTAAAAAAATAAGATTAGTATATGATTTTAGTCTAATTCTGACTTTAGTCACTCCACTATGTCCAATTTCAATATTTAATCACTCTATTGTAGTCTGATGAAATTTGCTCATATACGTTTTATAATAGTATTAATTAATATCTCCAAAATGATAATAATATGTAATTTGGTGATTAATGGTAAAAGATGTTGAGACTAATTTATCGATATTTAGTTAGATCTAAATCGATAAAATAATAAAAAGATGAATTTTTTTATTTAGGAAAATCTAAAACCTCCCAAAATGATGAATTCTTGTGTGTTTAATTATATAACATTTGAAAATATCTTAATAAAATCTAAATCAATAGAATGATAGAAGATGTTGAGACAAGTTTATTATTGTCTAGAGGGGTTAAAAAAACATTTAAAATAGTAGTTTCGACGATAGTAAAAGATAGATTAAAAATAATTATAACTTTGACGAAGAAGATGATATTGAATAAAAAATTAGTTTTTAGCTTTGACTTTAAAACATATCAATATCTATACTAGCATCAAAGTGTCGTATCATTAAATTATTATTAGTTTAACGATTCTTAATTGAAGCGTAATCTAAAATTCAACATTAAAATTAAAGCATTTTAAAGTTTAAAATTAAAATCAAGATAAAAGAGTAATTTTTACCTATGTAGTAGACTTAATTTATCATTTTTGTCCCTATCGTGTTTTCGTATCAATTTAATCATCGAAGTTAGTTACTTGCATCATTTTATACTTCATCTCTCACTTAAAAACCTAAGTTGAGGGTTTAGGGTTTAGAGATCATAGTTTAGGGTTTAATGTTATCAATTTAGAGTTTTAAGTGAGGTGTGAGTATAGAATGATGTAAATTAAACATCTTTAAAGGCTAAACTGATGTGAAAATACGATTGAAACAAAAATGATAAATTAGATCTATTAAAGGGATGAAAGTGACCCTTAATCCTAAAATCAATATAGAACCTAAAATTTAGTGGCTAATGATGTGGTTTGCCATTTTCTAATTCCATCAACTAAAAACATTCACTTGGACATTTTATGCATAAATAAACCCATCATTTAATTGCCATAAATTTATAATTTAGTAACATATGAGAATGAAATCCAACCCAAAAACGTTCCTGTAGTTTTCAGTTGCATATCACTTGTTCCTTCGTCTCTCTCCCTTAGATATTTCTGTAAAATTTTTCCAGAGATTTTCTATTTTTCTAATATGAAATCCACGTACCAAATCCTACCTTTACTTCTCTACTTCTCTTTAGCTAACAACTCCATCATCGTTCTCACTGCACCCTCTGAATCTAAACCAATATCTTACGCTCTTTCTTGTGGCACATCAGACCAAGATGCCATTGATTCCGAAGGTCGAAAATGGAGCTCCGACGTAAACTTCCTGTCATCGTCCGACAATTCAACGACGTCCGAAGCTCAATCACATGACCCTTCCTTTCCATCCTCGGTACCATACTTAAACGCAAGGATTTTCACATCAAACTCTTCATACAATTTCATTGTTCCCCCATGGAGTCGCCTTTGGCTCAGGCTCCATTTTTATCCATCTAATTACGATAATCTCGACCCGTTGGAGGCCTATTTCTCGGTCATCGCCGATGGCTTCACTCTTTTGAAAAACTTCAGTGCATCCATCACAGCAAAAGCTCTAACACAGGCCTATATCGCTAGAGAATTCGGTCTCCCGCCTGTTGGAACCGGCAACCTCGAAGTTACCATCGTTCTGTTTGAAGGATCACATGCTTTCATCAATGGCATCGAAGTTATCCCTATGCCTAATGATGTATTCCAACGCCCTGCACCTTTGGTTGGATATAGTGACCAACATATTGATCTTCACAGCTCCTCTTTGCAAATAATGTTTCGGATCAATGTTGGTGGACAGTTCATCGCTCCAAGCGATAACGTGGTTTAATGATTCAATGTATCTTCTAGGTGCTGCATTCGGTGTAACCTCCAAGGCTGGTGAAAACATTCGAATTCAATATTCGAAAGATGCTGTGTTGAAAATATTGGGGTTACTTAGAATTCAAGGGTAGGCTGCCTAATTGTGTTGAAAATGATAATGATTAAATCATACAATTAGTTATTGTATTTTAGGGTAATTTCAAGATTAGTTCCTAAGTTTCAACTATAAATACCCTTACCCATTTAGCTTCAAAATTATCCCAAAATCCCAAATCATTTCTTTCTCCCAATATTAGAGAGATTTCTTGTGAGTATTGAGTATTTTGTAAACACCTGTAAATTTTCTCTCTTAGTAAAAGATCTGCAGCAGTCCGGAGACTTAGGCATAATTGGATGAATTCCGTTATCAATTTCAGGTATTATTTTTCTGCTTTTATTTTGCATTCTCACTAATCTGGTTATAGGAAAATTATTCGTACTCGTTTTATTTCCCAACAACTGGTATCAGAGCTTTTGGTTGTGAATTTTATCAATTTTTTGCGAGGCTACTATTCATTACTATTCACGTGAATAGTGAATTTCGTGAATAGTAAAATTTTGTCAGCGATACGAATTTGTCGACGGAGGTGTTCTAATATACGGTGGTTCGCAAGAATTGTCAGAAACGATCCAAACGAAGCCAAATTCGAGTGGGAGTGATGGCTGCAGACGAAGGGAATGTGAAAATTGAGAAGTACGATGGTGCAGACTTTGGCTTTTGGAATATGCAGATCGAAGATTTTCTGTACCAGAAAAATCTATATCAACCCCTCTCAGGAAAGCAACCAGAGGGCATGAAGAATGAAGACTGGGCTCTTCTCGACAGACAAGCCCTCGGAGTTATTCGACTGACGTTATCCCCCAATATTGCTTTCAACATAGCAAAGGAAAAGACCACGACGGGTCTTATGGCGGCTCTCTCCAGTATGTATGAGAAGTCATCGGCCTCAAACAAAGTTCATTTGATGAGGCGATTATTCAATTTACGGATGGCGAAAGGGGCATCAGTGGCTCAACACCTAAATGAACTCAACACAATCACAACTCAGTTGAGTTCAGTAGAAATTGAATTCGATGATGAAGTTCGAGCTTTAATTCTCTTATCATCTCTACCAGACAGTTGGAATGCTACTGTTACAGCAGTCATCAGCTCGTCGGGAAACAACAAATTAAAATTCGACGATGTACGGGATCTGGTATTGAGTGAAGAAATTCGACGGAGAGAATCGGGTGAAGCATCAACCTCCTCAGCCTTGCACACGGAGTCCAGATGGAGAACTTCAGAAAGAAATTCAAATCGTGGCAGATCCAAATCCAGAAGGGGAAAATAAAGAACAGGAAAGAAAGATTTTACCTGTTATAATTGTGGCAAGAAGGGTCACATTAAAAGAGACTGCCGAGTACTGAAGAAAGATACTGACGCACAAGAATCTACCAACATGACAGAGGAGACAGGTGATGCCATGATTCTAAGCGTCAACAGTCTGATTGAATCATGGATCTTGGATTCAGAGGCATCTTTCCACTCTACCCCATGCCGAGAAATCATGGAGAACTATGTCAGTGGTGATTTTAGGAAGGTTTATCTAGTTGATGATGAAACCTTGAAGATCGTCGGAAAGAGAGACATCCGATTAAAGCTGCCAAACCAGACCACCTGGACGCTGAAAGGTGTGAGACATATTCATGATCTCAAAAGAAATTTGATTTCTATAGGACAACTTAATGAATAATGATATAGTACAACCATTTCAGGCTGTGAATGGAAGATTACCAAATGAGCACTCATCATTGCTCGTGGTAAGAAGACTGGTACCCTCTATATAACCTCAAATTTAGAGAATATCATTACAGTAGCAGATGCTGATGGAAAATCAAACCTATGGCACCAAAGGCTTGGCCATATGAGCGAGAAAGGGATGAAGATACTTTTTTCAAAAGGGAAGCTGTCGGATCTAAAGAATATAGATGTCGGACTATGCGAGGATTGCATCTTTGACAAACAAAAGAAAGTCAACTTTGCAAAGATTGGTAAGACACACAAGGCTGAAAAGTTAGAGTTGGTTCATACTGATGTATGGGGACCATCTCCAGTTCTATCTCTTGCATGCTCATTATATTATGTCACCTTCATCGATGATTCAACAAGGAAGGTGTAGGTTTATTTTCTGAAGAAGAAATCAGAAGTCTTTGATAACTTCAGAAAATGGAAGGCCGTGGTGGAAAATGAGACTAGTCTGAAAGTCAAGCGGTTGAGGTCTGACAATGGAGAAGAGTACATAAATAGGAGATTCAGAGATTTCTGCGTAAACAATGGGATTAAGATGGAGACAACAGTTCCCATGACACTGCAGCAGAATGGCGTAGCAGAGCGCATGAACAGAACTCTGAATGAACGTGCCAGAAGTATGAGGATACATGCCGGATTGCCCAAATTTCAATGGGCTGAAGCTATCAACACTGCAGCTTACCTGATCAACCGTGGGCACTCAGTTCATTTGGATGGAAAAATACCAGAGGAAGTTTGGAGCAAGAAAGAAATAAACATTTCACACTTAACAATGTTTGGTTGTATTTCTTATGTACATATAGATTATGCTGAAAGAAGTAAACTTGATGTTAAGGCCAACAAATGCGTCTTTGTTGGTTATGGTGGTGATGAGTTCGATTACCGATTTTGGGACTATGAAAATCGGAAGATCATCAGAAGCTGAGATGTCATTTTCAATGAGAATGTGATGTACAAAGACAGGTCAACTGTAGAATCAAGCAGCTCCAATACCAAAGCTGAAATAAAAGAATTTGCCGAGTTCGAGGAGATTTCTGTAAATGATGTTCAAATCAGTCCTGAAGCAGTTCAAGAAGAACCAGGCACACCGGAACTAAAATGCTCCTCCAGAATTCCT